CTTCAATAAGGCATGATATCTTTCCACCGCTAGTACAGTTATAGTAAAGTAGGAAACCGTTGCACAAAGTTCAACGCGAGCCCAACTAACTTGCAAACGAATTTCCAAACTTCAAAGAAATACAACGGCCACAACAAAATGGTAATAATATCACTAGCGGCCATGCTCACCAGAAGATAATTTGTCGGCGTGTACATCTCCCGTGTTTTGTGAACAATTCGTATTACCAACACATTTCCGATGAATCCAATGACAAGGAACGGGATGCTTGAATAGAATAAGGTATAAGTCAGGTTATAGATTTCATCCATATTGCGTCTCCTTATTAAGTAGCGTTCTAGGTTTTGTCTTAATTGATGGCGTGTATTTTGAGTTTAAAGACTGCAGTTACCTTTGGCCAAAGTCTCTTCGGAAATATTGAAAAGTCTAACTCGAATTATTAGAAACTGAATCATTGAATAATGCAATTCTAGAGCTCTGATTGGCTTAGCCATCATGGTATATGAGCCATTATACTATGCTCTCCAAATATGGTAACAGTAGCGTCTGCTCGAAATTTAAAACAAGCTGAAAATCGGTTGTTTTTACAAATAAAGTCGGGAAGATGTTTTGTGGGTGTTTTTAATAAAACAATTATTCCACTGGCGCTTGTATATGGCGTTCATTACTGCTCAAAACACTTTGAGCACATTTTTGACTTTCTGACACCTTTTTCACGTCCAGGGGGTCAAATTCCCCAGTCACGTATCACGTCGTAAAATTTACGACGTAAACCTTCTACTCGCATCGTTACGTCGTAAAATATACCAACGTCTATTTTACGGCGAGAAATCTATTATCCTTCAGTGTACTTTGAAGGTCGTCCCTATGGCGTTCATTACTGCTCAAAACACTTTGAGCACATTTTTGACTTTCTGACACCTTTTTCACGTCCAGGGGGTCAAATTCCCCAGTCACGTATCACGTCGTAAAATTTACGACGTAAACCTTGTACTCGCATCGTTACGTCGTAAAATATAACAACGTCTATTTTACGGCGAGAAATCTATTATCCTTCAGTGTACTTTGAAGGTCGTCCCGTCCTTATTAAAAGTCTTCAAATATATCACGACGTGATTATATTTAGCATGACACGTTACGACGTAAAAATTACGACGTAAACGAGGAGGTTCGCGTTACGACGTAAAATAAATTTTAGCTACATGTTACGTCGTGGATATTTACGGCGTAAAAGCAAGGTACGTTGTAATAAATCCATTCGTCAAGTTGTCAATCAAATAGGTTTTGCGTCGTAACTTTTACGACGTAAAATTTATCTGCTTTTTAAGTTGTCAATCAAATATAATTTTACGACGTAAAGTTAATATAGTTAAAGTTGTCAATCAAATAGGTTTTACGTCGTAACTGTTACGACGTAAAATTTATCTGCTTCTTAAGTTGTCAATCAAATATAATTTTACGACGTAAAGTTAATATAGTTAAGTTGTCAGTCAAAAAAGGTTCGCAAAGTCTTAATAGATTACCATCTACAATGTTTAATAAGTTAACTTCAAAGATTTAATAGATTACCATTTACAATGTTTAATAAGTTAACTTCAAAGTCTTAATAAATTAACGTTTTCAGTGTTTAATAAGTTAACTTCAAAGTCTTAATAGATTAACGTTACTTCAAAGTCTTAATAGGTTACCATTTACAATGTTAATTAAGTAATTTTCAAGTCTTACTAGATTACTTAATTGACTTTAAAGTCTTCATAAGGTTTAAAATAACTAATATTGCTATGTTAAAATACCTTAATTTCAACGCCTAGATTTTACACTTGTCAAAATTAAATCAATGAAGTCTCAATCGGTTATCAGCGCTATGAGTCATGCAAAGAGTTAATGTTGGTCAAACGTTTTCATGCCTGATATAAGAAAATTTGTATTTCCACCTCTGTCCCATATTTATTACTAAAAGAACGCAAGCGCTGGTTTCCCGATTAACAGCTTGTCAATTTATTGAAATAACTATTTGATCGAAATTCAAGTAATGCCAACAAAGATCCAATTATAATGAAAGACCTCCCCCTTCTGGCAATATTGAAAATTATCACAACCTCTTGTAACTTTACGCCAAAAAAAAAACACCCAACCAACAAAAGGAAGAAAACAGCTGTACCTAAACAAAATCAAATCGTTGAAATCTTATTAAACTAGCTATTAACTACGAGTGCAAATTATTTAAACTGATATACTTGGCAAACTTGGCAAAACTTCTTCCGTATGAGTGTATTTACTTTGTCTTAAATTTGAATATGTCCTGCAAAAGAATCTAGACTAATTGTCATCATTTGTTCCAAGTTTTTTTTGCGCAGAATGCTTAGTTAAAAAATAATATATTATATATACAACGCAAATGGTCGATGTTTTTTTTGGTGGACTCATGGAACTGAAAGCAATACAATTGCGACTTTCTGCAATTTGTTTTAGTGATCACTCACTCACAAGCAGTAGAAGAAGGAACGTAAGTGTCTTATCCAATATATGTTATTGATAATACTCCCCCCCGCTTTCTTTTATTTTGTCAATGAACACTCCTTGTATTTTATAGCCGATGTCCAGTTTATCCTAGCATCGGTTTAGTAAAATAAAACGCTTCATTTAGTGTATGTGAATGAGTGTTCTATAAACGTTCTTTGATATTTATAAATATCTACAATCCAGGGAGAATAAAGATTTACTCATTATTTAACATTCGTATATAAGCTTAAGGGTCCTGGGAGCAGGAGAGGCCCCGTGAGCGAAAGTACTGCTAGGCCCATCCCATTCCCAGGAGACTGGTATTAAAATACAATATGCTTTTGTTTCCGTACTTAAAGAGAACAACTACACCACATGTACAGGATTTTAACAGATAGCCACGGACTCAGGGGAACCAGGGCCGTAGCCTAGAGGAAAAACTATCTGTTCACAGTTCTTTGTACAGATAGAGAATATTACATGGCCGCGCGGGGATACGAATTTTATCCTCGAGTGCTGAAGGTATCTCTCACGAGAAGATAAACTTCGTATCCCCAAGCGGCCGTGTAATGTTCTGTTTATTTTATAGATACTGATGATATTCCTACGTAAAACACAACTTTTTCTTGCTTCATTTTCGAAACAGCAAAATAGTGCAATTAAAGTGGTCAACTATTGCAAAATGCCTGTCACAGAAATGTTATGAAACTCGGATATAAAGTTATAAAGGAGAAATAAAGACAATAATACTTATATTTCCTGCTCCAAAAGGTCAAAATTCTAATGAAGAATGGCTATTCTAATGAAGAATGGCTAATCATGTTAGTAACCATGGCGACACCAATATCCTCCCACGTGAAAGTATCTTCATTGCGCGCGATGAAGATATGATTTTTTAGTAAAAGGAAAAATCCTGGTATTTCATCAGTATCTATATTATAAATGAGAATACAACAATGTTTTGGAAAATTATAAAAGTGTTTGGATTTTGAGCCGTTTGGTCTGAAGTAGGTTATGGGTATCAAGGGGACCCCTAGACTACGAACAGTTTCTGTCTTTTTCTTTAATTTTCAGTGTCAGATACTGAACAAGTTATTGAATGCGTTCGCGAATCGAGCATAACTTCCAGAAGCCAGGTCTGAGAATGACGGGTGTTGAAAATTTCATATATTGGTCTGAAATAGGATCAGGATTTGGAGAACCGGGCGGTCACTTCCACCGATATTTCTGTAGAATTCCAGGGTGTTCCTGAACCCAACCTACTTAGACGAGAATGGAGCCCTTGCTACTCAAGTAAATAACTGGTAGCTTATTTGAATAGTAAGGGTTCCATTCTCGTCTAAATAACGGCTCCTGACCTCGTCAAGGGGGAGGAAAGCCTCCCAGCCTAGCGGTGCGGATTGAAGGAGCCACCTCGGTGAAGACGATCGGCGGGCGAAGGCGTCACTTCCTTGGCGGAGGGTTATGCTGGTGGGTGAGAAAAAAAATTTAGTTATTTTTATCCTTATTTTTCAAATAATCGATGTTAAATTTTACAAACTGTCACAGTAGATTGAATATTTACCTTAAGTTGAGGAACGCGGGATCCGTTTCTGCGTTTTCAAAGAAAAACCCCGTGTTCCCGGCAGTGGACATCTTGGGCACTATAATCGCCCTGAATTGGCCTGCGAACAAAGGGCTCTTTATGCCCACTGCCCGGCCCACGGAGTTTGACTGCTCCTCGAAACCCGTGATATTCCATTGGAACGTAGCCACTCTTCCCGGCGTCATGGGTGGTGTCACCTGAAGTGAAATGTATAAAATGTTCATTTGAGCCCGCGAGCAAGCTCTCCTGCCTTTCCGATCCTCTACCCCTCGCGGCTTCGCCGCTCGCTCGCACGTTCTCGCGAAAATCGCTTCGCTTGCCCAAATAGGAGAGCGTGCTCGCAGGTTATGTTCATTTACACCCTCAGTTGTAAAAACTATGTGTGAAACTATTACGGTTAAATAATTTGTGCCAATCAAATATTTCTTTTGCTATTACTTACTTCGTTTAACTGGTTCGCCCTCCTTTCTGCGAGCAGCAGCTGCAAGTGACTCGCTGCGTTATCTGCCCCATGTCTCGCTTGATCCTCTCTTCGCAAGACATCGTTACACGCAGGGAATGGACAAGTAACGAATGCGCGGGTACATGCGGAGGCAATGTGCCCGTTTAATTGGTCCCTGGAAGAGAGAATTTCCTTTTCTTTACGCCTTTTGTCTTCGTGTCGTTGTTTCAGGTTAGAGATATAAAGTTTAAAGTAAGTTAATTAATATTAACAATATTGGTCAGGGCTTTTTGC